CTGCACAGAACAGACGCCGAGAGAGGCGACACTTCTCCGGGAAAGCCAGACCTCGCGCTCACGGGACAGCACTGGAGAAATCCTCCAACTGAACCATAGCTAAGCTTTATCCAGAAAAGTCGCTAGGTTTGTAAGTATGAATATTCTATGGAAGAAAGCCGCTAAAAGGGCTAAAGTGGCGCTCGTGTGTGTGAGACGCGGGAGCTGATGGCAGGGGCGCTGGATATTTGTGGCGGTCAGTGTGGATATTGTGGATGAGTTCTTCTGTGTCATCACGTTCTATTAGTTCTACAGCTTCAGTTTCTGAACTTTCACGCTTAGTAACACATACAGCTGTGCCCTCACCACAGTGCAACAGTGAAAAGAGACCCGTTTCAAACAGTGCCGCGTTCCCAATGTTGTTTAAGCGACATACACCGGTATTGCGCTACTTTAAAAATTCATATCATAACAAAAATAAACACCGGTATTCGGTATGAACCGGTATACCGCCCAGCACTAGTTGCTAGGGTTTGACCCTTAATTCGCCATGAAGTTTACTGACTAAATATGACTGGTCAACTGAATAAACTCACCTCTCCTCTCGAGCGTGTCTGGCCTCCTCCATGTTGGACACGTAGTCCCGACTGCACACACACACACACACAGACACAGACACACACACACACACACACACGCAGACACACACAGACACACACACACACACACACACGCAGACACACACAGACACACACACACACACACACACGCAGACACACACAGACACACACACACACACACACACGCAGACACACACAGACACACACACACACACACACACGCAGACACACACAGACACACACACACACACACACACGCAGACACACACAGACACACACACACACACACACACGCAGACACACACAGACACACACACACACACACACACGCAGACACACACAGACACACACACACACACACACACGCAGACACACACAGACACACACACACACACACACACGCAGACACACACAGACACACACACACACACACACACACACACACACACAGGAAAGAGGATGAGATCAGGTGATCTGTATGATGATAACTCATCATGTGTGTGATTGAGTGTATTGTAGAGGCTGGACCTGTGTCGGTTGCGCTCCTCTCTCTCGATGCGCTGCAGTCGCTCCTCTCGCTCCAGCCGTCGTCTCTCTCTTTCCGCCGCCAGAGATTCCTGATGCTGCCGGTACGAGGACGACAGCAGGCCGCCCAGAGCAGGCCTGAAACACCATCATTACTATCAACACTCTGCATTCTCCATTTAAGCTAATATTTCAATAATTTAACAACGTATGTATATCGAATGTTCACGCTCACATGACAATATAATATAACATTGACACAGTTATTGAACTAAACTGAATAAACACTATATAGTTTTCTGAACAGGTGCTTACAGCTGAAACTGAATTAGTTTCATAACTGATGAACATTGACACTGCTGTTCCTGATTATTAATGTGAAGCTGCTGAGAATCGATCTGTATTGTATACACTGCTCTCTAGAAGTGAATGTGAATAGACAGAAGAAGAGAAGACTGAGCTCACCGGTCATTGTGCTGTTTGGCTGCCGTGGATGAAGAACTTACAGCAGAGAACGACCTGAGAGAAACCACAGACAGAAAGACAGAGTGAGTGCTAATGAAGACTCGATTCAGAAACCATCATCAGACGCCGGGAGCTTCAGGAGCGACGTGTGACGCCGTTCAACATCAAGCATAACGTGACGCATTCACACGGGGAACAGAAGCAGTGCTGATCATCAGCAGATCCGCTGGAGACACACGTGAGCAGGTGCATCATGGGATACGAGGTGTCTACCTGCTGCTCTCCTGATCCTGCAGATCGTAGGAGAACAGGAAGAAGGGCGAGTGGGGCAGGTACGGCATGTGGGCGGAGCCTCGCAGCGGAGGGCTGCTCTCATTGGACGGCGGGACGCTGACAGACGACCGGCGCTGTGCCAGCAGATTGGCCAGGAGCGACGGCTGGGCGGAGTCAGGAGGGGGCGGGGCCTCTGGGGCCTTCCTCGGCTCCGCCTCCTCCTCCTCAGGTGTGAGTTTGCTGCTGTGCTCTGATGTGCTAAAGAACGGCATCATGGGTAAAATAAAACAGGGACTTGTGTTTGATTTATTGTGTGTTCCTGGAGACAGCGTTAAAACCAACCTGCCACCACAAACTAAACTAATCAGCTATATAATATTGATTATGCATAATATAACAACACAATAAATAATACTGATAATATATGAAATAATAATATATAACAATATATATGCAAATGATACATAATACTGATTATATATATAATATATTAAATAATAATATACGAAAATAATACATAACACACGTAAATAAATATATGTAAATTATATATAATCTGATAATATATTAAATAATAATATAACAAAAGTATGTAATTAAATGTAAATACATATATGTAAACAATACATTATATTGATGACATAATATACTGTAAATATATGTAAATAACACATAATCTGATAATATACTGAATAATAATGTAATATAATATAGATTATATAATATAATGTATTATATAGAAGTATGTAAATAATAAATAACAATTTATAAAATAATAGATATAAATAAAAATGAAATAATAATAATAGCATAGAATAGAATGGGATAGAATAGAATGGAACGGAACAGAACAGATAGAATAGAACAGAACAGAATAGTATAGTATAGTATAGCATAGCATGGGGTAGAATAGAACGGAATAGAATGGAACGGAACAGAATAGAACGGAATAGATAGAATAGAACAGAACAGAATAGTATAGTATAGCATAGCATAGCATAGCATAGAATAGAATGGGGTAGAATAGAATAGAATAGAATAGAATGGAACAGAACAGAATAGATAGAATAGAACAGAACAGAATAGTATAGTATAGCATAGCATAGCATAGCATAGAATAGAATGGGGTAGAATAGAATAGAATAGAATGGAACAGAACAGAATAGATAGAATAGAACAGAACAGAATAGTATAGTATAGCATAGCATAGCATAGCATAGAATAGAATGGGGTAGAATAGAATAGAATAGAATGGAACGGAACAGAATAGATAGAATAGAACAGAACAGAATAGTATAATATAGCATAGAATAGAATAGAATGGAATGGAATAGAACAGAATAGAATAGAAATTGATCAGCTTGTTAGCACAAACTAACTGAAAACACAAAGTTAGAGAAAGTGAATTTGAGCAGTTATAGTTTTGGTAATATTAGGTGATATATAATTTAAAAGACATAAATTGCAAATGCTAAGCATATATCAGTGATGTAGGATTTGTAATTAGTCGTTTAGGGCTCCTAAAGGGGGGAAGTTTAATGGTGTGGTAAGAATTTGTCTTGACAACAGCGTTTATCGTTTGGTGTTCAGCAGTGAGTGACACATTTATCATAAAAAGATCTTCTAACTCTTCCTCAGTAGAGGTCACAGGTCAAACTGTGAATCTGACGGAGCACAAGACGTCTGTGACTGTGACTCAAGAACCAGCACACGTGGAAACATCCCGCTCTCTGCACTAAAATACCTGACCATACTGAGATTAGAAGGATTCATTTCCCCCTCCTCCTCATCATCCTCATCATCTGAAGCCGACTCAGTGACAGGAGTTTCCTCCTCATCCTCTTCTCTGCAGAGAAACCACAAACGCCAGCCACGCAAAACACAGCAGCACAGAAACCACAGAGAGAGCGGCAGTGAACAGACAGAACAACACCAGTGTGACCATCATCATCATCTTCATCAGTCGGTCAGTCCATCGTGAGAGCAGCTCGTGAGCAAACACACACGTGAATGAGTGACTGATACAGTCTGATAAATATTCATAGCTGAACTGTGGAGGATGTTTGAGATTTAAACTTTTATTAAAGAAAAAAAACATTAAGGAAAGTTGGAATTTTCTATCCATTATATACTGTAGAGTGAATGTGACTGCTCTGTTATGAACTAAAATGAAAACAGTTAAAGCATTTATGTTACTTGAAACAAAATAAATGTAAACTGAAATAAAATAAAATGTATATATAAAAAAAACTTTAGGTTATACTTTATACTTTCAGTAAATATTAGTGCTGTCAAACGATTAATCGCATCCAAAATAAACGTTTTTGTTTACATATATAATATACTGTATATGTGTGTACTGTGTATATTTATTATGTATATATAAATACACACACATACATGTATATTTAAGAAAAATATGTTATGTTTATATATGAAATATATTTATATATAATATAAATTATATGAATATAAATATATACATGTAAATATTTTCAAAATATATACTGTATGTGTGCGTATTTATATATACATAATAAA